GCTTTATCAAGACGAGGGAAGAGGTTTTTGTGATATAGTTGATAGTGAGAGTGATACTTACTCTTCAAGTTCAAAAAGCGGATCAACGGAGGGACAAGAAAATGATGTTTTGTTTCGTGAGTTCGGAAATCTGGAGGATTATGAGCTCACGGGAGGGATTTTGCTACCCTTCACGGAAATCAACTTCTCAATCCATCCACAATATACTAGAATGGTCCAATCGGAGCAATTTTCCGGAAGTGCAAGTGAGGACCCTATTGAACATTTGGACTGATTCCTTGAATTGTGCGCAATGATGCAAACCAATGAAGTGAGTCAAGACTACATTTGTATGCACCTTTTCCGGCAATCTCTCACCGGACGAGCAAAGAAATGGCTAAAGCAAGTAAAGCCTAACATTCTCACAACATGGAGGAAGGTGGTAAAGGCGTTCTTGAAGCGATTTATTTATGAGGAGAAGACCGCCGAAATGAGAAGGAAAATCGCATCATTTGAGCAAGAAGCCGATGAAGTCTTGGTGAAGCATGGGAGAGATTCAAAGAGTTAGTGCAAGCGTGTCCCCACCATGAGTACAATCAAGGTTTGCTCATGCAGTTTTTCTACAACGGATTGGAGCCTATGTCAAGAGCCAATTTGGATGCGTGGGCGGGTGGTCAATTAATCAAAATCCATCAAAATCAAGTTAAAGCCATAATAGAAGAAGTAGCAAAGAATTACTCTTAGGGGGGCCGAAGAAGAAATGCTCCAAAGAAAGGTGGTATTTACGAATTGGAGAAAGTTGATCAATTACAACCTCAAATTGATCAACTAACAAAAGGGCTTTCCAAGTTGAACACGAGTGTGAATGCAAGTTCAAGCGGTAGAGAAAGCTCCTCTCAACTTAACTCTTTCTCTTGTCAAAATTGTGGAGGAACAAACCATGATACATCTTGTTGTGGAGGTTTAAGCCCCGAGCATGTAGTGGCATACAACACAAGGTAAGAGGGATTTAGAGGAAGTGGCGGTGGAGTAGCTTGGAGACAACCACCACCCGGGTTTGTACCTCAACCTCAACAATGGAACCAACAAGCTCAGCCTTCCTACAACTCCAACCCTCAATATCAAAATCCACCTACATCTCAACCCCAAAACCCAAGAGGAAACTATCCAAGGAACAACCAATACAACAATCAAGCCCAAGCACCTTAAAGAAATCATCAAGAACAAGCACCTCAAGCGAAGCTAACACAAACTCAACTCCTCCAAGCCATTCATGCGCAAATTCAATATTTTGGGCAACAAATGCAAGAGATAAGAGCTCACAACAAGATGGTTGATTCACAACTAGCTCAATTGGTCGAGAGAACTCCTTTCAATTCACCATCTACTCTACCCGGACAACCACAACCTAACCCATCTCACACTCAAAACCCGATAGATGCAAGGCGATCACATTGAGGTCGGGAACTTCCTATGAAGGGCCAAATGAAAGGGATAGTGAGGAAAATAAGGGAGGAGAGGAGAGTGAATGAAAACAAGGGAGGTGAGGAAAAAAAGGTTGATGAGATAGAAGGAGGTTCGGAGAAGAAGAAGCTTGACAATGAGAAGACAACTTCAATTCCTAGTGAGGCTGGGAATCTTGATGGACCGGTTCCTTTTCCCGGTCGGCTTGCGGAGAGGAAGTTGAATGACAAATTTGCAAAATTTCTTAGTGTAATGAAGAATTTGCACATTAACCTCCCTTTTCTTGAAGTTGTGACACAAATGCCATCTTACTCCAAGTTCCTCAAAGATATTCTCACCAACAAGAGGAAGCTCAATGATGAGCTTTTCACCCTTCCACATCAAGTGAGTGCCCTTGTCCAACACAAGATGCCCAAGAAGGAAAATGACCCGGGAAGTTACACTTTGCCGGTGAAAATTGGGAACATGGAAGCTAGGGGCGCCTTAGTCGATCTTGGAGCAAGTGTTAGTTTAATCCCTCTATCCATTGCTCAAAAACTCAATATAGAGATGATCCCTACAAGGAAGAAAATTCAATTGGCCGATCGGTCGATGAAATTACCTTGTGGAGAGCTTGTGGATGTTCCAATTCAAGTGGGACACATCTACGTGCCTTGTGACTTTGTAGTGATGGATATGGAGGAAGATGTTAACACTCCTTTGATTTTAGGACGTGAAGCTCTTAAAACTTTGGTGGCGGTCATCAATTGCAAGAACAACACCATCACATGTGAGGTGGCCGATGAGAAAATTGTCTTTGAGTTTTCTAAGTTGCTCAAGACCCCCATGGTTGAAAAATGCTATAGAGTAGATTTTGTGAATGAGGAGCTAGATCGCTTGGGGAGGGTCGTTATGAGGCCTCAAGATCCAATGATAGAAGCTCTTACATGCAAAGAAGAGTTCCACTCTCAAGAGGCTAAAGATTTTGTCATGGCAATAGAGGAATTCTCAAAGGAGGAGGTTGAACAACAAGTTGAGATCGAGCTTGAGTCCAAGGAGGAGAAATTGGAGGAGAGTTATAAGCCTCCTCCCATGGTAGAACACAAGCCCCTTTCCCCTTCTTTGAAATATGCTTTTCTTGATAAAGAGGGAAAATACCCTATTATTGTCAATGCTACCCTAGATGGTCTTAATTTGGAAAAACTTCTTGATGTTTTGAGAAAATATAAGGATGTGATAGGGTATAGCATTTATGATATCAAAGGTATTAGCCCTTCTTTATGCATGCATCGTATTCATCTTGAAGATGATCATTCCACCTCCATTGAACCTCAAAGAAGGCTGAACCCCAACCTTCAAGAGGTTGTGAAGAAAGAAATTTTGAAACTACGTGAGGCGGGCATCATCTATGCTATCTCCGATAGCAAGTGGGTTAGCCCGGTTCATATAGTTCCAAAAAAGGGTGGGATGACCATAATCATAGGTGAAGGAGGAGAGGAAATCTCCACCCAAGAGGTTGAATAAAAACACCAAGAAAGATCATTTTCCTCTCCTATTCATGGAACAAATTCTCGAGAGGCACTCTCAACATGCTTTCTTTAGTTTCTTGGATGGGTATTCCGGATTTTTCCAAATCCCTATCCATCCAAGTGATCATGAGAAAACTACTTTCACATGTCCTTATGGGACATTTGCATACCGAAGAATGCCATTCGGTTTCTGCAATGCTCCTTCTACCTTTCAAAGATGCATGACCTCCATTTTCTCCAAGATGCTTGAAAAAGAAATTGAAGTTTTCATGGATGATTTTAGTGTTGGTGGCTCGTCTTTTGACACTTGTCTTTTTAACCTTGAAAAAGTTTTGAAAAGGTTCCAAGAGACAAGTTTGGATTTTAATTGGGAAAAATTCCACTTCATGGTCGAGGAGGTCATTGTCCTTGGCCATAAAGTTTCAAAAAATGGCATTGAGGTTGATCCGGCCAAAGTTTCGGTGATTGAGAAATTTCCCCCATCCTACTTCTATCACGGGAGTACGAGCTTTTCTTGGGCATGCCAGTTTCAACCGGAGATTTATCAAAGACTTTTCATCAATCGCCAAACCTTTGACCGAATTACTTAAAAAGGATGTTGATTTTAACTTCAATGAGGCTTGCCTTGAAGCATTTCGTAAGCTCAAGGGAGCTCTCATTTCCTCTCCCGTTGTGCAAGCTCCGGATTGGAGCTTGCCTTTTGAGCTAATGTGCGATGCGAGTGATTTCGCAGTGGGTGCTATTCTTGGACAAAAGAAAGAAGGAAAATCATGTGTCATCTACTATGCAAGTAGGACTCTTGATGAAGCTCAAAAGAACTATACAACAACGGAGAAGGAAATGCTAGCGGTTGTTTTTGCCTTTGATAAGTTTAGGTCCTATCTTATTTGCTCTAAGGTGATTGTGTACACGGATCATATTGCGGTGCGATATCTCATGACTAAGAAAAAAGCTAAGCCTCGCCTAATCCATTGGGTTCTCTCTCTTCAAGATTTTCACATGGAAATTAGGGATAAAAAGGGAGGGGAGAACTGCGTTGCGGATCATTTGTCTAGGCTACCATTCAAGAACATAGATGATGTACCAATCAATGATGAGATAGGATTTGTAGCTCTCATGGCTATGGCTTCAACATGTAGCCCTTGGTACGCGGACATTGCTAATTATCTTTCTTGTGGAGTCACTCCCCCGGAGTTTTCTTATCAACAAAAGAAGAGGTTTTTCAAGGAAGTGAGGAAGTATTTTTGGAACGACCCATACTTGTTCAAACAATGCGGAGATGGCCTTTTTCGAAAATGTGTTCCGGATCATGAAATCGAAGGAGTTCTTGAGCATTTCAATTCACTACCATGTGGAGGACATGGGGGTGTTGATAAGACGGTGGCAAAAATCTCTCGATCTCTATTGTGGTGGCCAACGATGCATAAGGATGCCCAGAAATTTGTTTCACAATGTGATAGGTGTCAAAGGAGTGGTGGCATAACCAAAAGAGATGAAATGCCTTAACAAAATATCTTGGAAGTTGAGCCCTTTTATGTATGGGGAGTGGACTTTATAGGGAATTTCGTTTCTTCTTGTGGGAATCCATATATATTGGTAGCGGTTGATTATGTGACGAAATGGATTGAATCCATACCCTCACCTACCAACGATCACAAGGTTGTGCTTAAGCTTCTAAAGAAGATCATTTTTCTTAGGTTTGGGTTTCCGAGGGTGCTAATTAGTGATGGAGGCTCCCATTTCGCCAAAAAGCAATTTGAAGCTCTTCTCAAGAGGTATTGCGTTCATCACAAGGTTGGATTACCTTACCACCCTCAAACTCAAGGACAAGTGGAGGTCTCGAATCGTGAAATCAAAAATCTTCTTGAAAGGATGGTGAACAAATCAAGGAAAGATTGGTCTCTCAAACTTGATGACACACTATGGGCTCTTAGGACGGCGTACAAGACTCCAATCGGCACGACCCCCTATAGGTTGGTCTACGGAAAGGCTTGTCACTTGTCGGTTGAGTTATAATGCAAGGCTTGGTGGGCCAACAAAGAACTCAATATGGATTTATCGTTGGCCGATGAAAAGAGATTGCTTAAGCTCAATGAACTTGAAGAGCTTAGAGATGATGCTTATGAGAGCTCAAGGTTATATAAGGAGAAGACCAAAAAGGGACATGACAAACATATTCAAAACAAGAGCTTTAAGGTTGGAGACAAGGTTTTGCTTTTCAACTCAAGGCTTCGTTTGTTTCCGGGTAAACTCAAGTCCAAGTGGTCGGGCCCTTTTGTGATATCGAAGACTACTCCTTATGGCTCCTTTGAGTTAGATGCGGATGGCAACAAGTTTATGGTTAATGGTCATCGTTTAAAGCATTACTTTTGCAAGGAAGAAGTTGGTGTCATCGAATGTATAATGCCTGATCCTTTGGATCCCAAGCCTCCCCCTTGAAGAATTTTCCTCATGGTCAAGCTAGTGACCTCATAAAGAAGGCTTCTTGGAAGGCAACCCGAGTTTCTAACTCTTATCTATTTTTTCTTATATATATTCTGATTTCCCTTTCTTTTTTCAATTTGAATTTTATTTTTCCCCTTTTGGTTGATAGGTGTTTCGATGATGAAGGAGTAAAGGGTTTTTCTATATCAAAGATGAGAGAAGAAAGAAATCGAAGTTTGCTCTGCGCGACCCTGTGCGCGACTGTTGTGCGGGCGCGCAACCCTATCAGAACCCGTACACTTTTGTTCGAAATTTCAGCTTGGAGACAAAAGGTTTGCGCGACCCTGTGCGCGACCTCTGTGCGGGCGCGCAAGGAAGGGTATACGGGCGCGTAGCCCTGTCAGAACCTGCACACTTTTGTTTTGAATTGGAGATTTGAGGCAGTGAGTCTGCGCGACCTAGTGCGCGACCCCTATGCGGGCGCGCAGATCCCCTGTGCAGGCGCGCAGAGCTAGGAAAATCGGGTTTTAAGTTCTTCTTCCCCATTTCACCCTCATATTTTCGCAAGCCCCATTTCATGCTCTCTTCTCTCTCCTCACAAACTCAAACCCTAACCCTTCAATTTCACCCATTTCTCACAAATTCCATTGATTTTCCTTCAAATCCATCAAAATTTTTCACTCTACATACAAATTTACCCATTTTCTCTCTCCAAAATACCCAAAAATCCTCCATTGTTATGGTGTGCAAGCTTAGTTGAAGGTGGTATTCTTGGGGGTTCATAGTGGTGTTCAAGCTTCTACTAAGTCGTATAACTCTAAATTTTGCTACTTTATTGCTTATTTTCACTTGTTTATGCAAAACTTTTAGTTATTAAGCATGGTTTAGCTTGAGTGAGTTTCATGTGATTTTGATTTTCTCTGCTAAGGATTTTTTGGTTTTTAGTGTGATATTTAGTTATTTTGGAACACTGTTGTTAACATTATTAATTTGAAAGCTATTTTCATGGAATTTAGTTGAGCAATTTTGTGTTAGTATTGATGATAATGCAACTATTTTCATGAAAATTGCTTATTATCATAATGTATTGTGATTGAGTGCTTTGTTGTTGATTCTAGTTGTTTTTGGAGCTATATTTGTGTGGTTAGTTGTTGGTACTAACCTTTTTGCAGATTGTTAAGGCTCGGATTGTTGTGGTTGTGTTATAATTATTGGTTGAGTTCAAAGTGAATTCTCTTTTGGTTTGGTTGTTTATATTGCTTGAGGCCACAATGAACAAAAGGAAGAGTAGAAAGGAGCCCCGGTTAAGGGTTGAGAACCTAGTACTCAAACTCAAGCTCAAGGACCGAATGTTCCCCCTCGATTGAAATTCTTGTACAAGGTCCATGCTACCTTCTTTAATGACCTTCAAGGACGAAAGCTAAATCCCACGAGACACTATGATCAACGCTCCATGAGAGCTTTGGGGATTGACGATGACATAAGGTCACTCCTTGACAACTTAGGGATGAATGAGTTCATTAAGCATCAACATCGAACATATAAAGATCCCACCTTCGAATTCTTGGCCTCATTTGAAAAAGAGCCTTATGGGAACAACGATTTCCAAATTTCCTTCCAACTTTTCAACAACCAGACACTATGACTCTTAGTGATCTCAATACATTGTTGGATTTGAACCCCGAGGTGGACCTCCTTGCCTTCATTGAGCCTATTCCCAGAGTACGATGCATTTCGATGGTGGCAAATGATTACCGATTTTGAAGAGTTCAGCAGTAGGTATTTGATGGCCAACCAAATTATCCACCCTGTTCTCCGTATCCTTCACCGCATTCTGGGGTATGCGGTGTTTAGCAAGTAAGATATGAGTAAGCTCTCGCATGAAGAGCTCTTTACTTTGTGGGTTGCTACTAGGGAGGAGTTGAGAGGGCGGCTCAACATGGGATATTGGTTTGTCTTGTGCTGCGAGGCAATCAAGTTGGGTCACAAGACGGGAGAAATTTCCCTTGGTGGGATGATCACAAGGATTTCTAAAAAGCTTAACTATGAACGCTTCTTCCCCGCATGCACTCAAGTTGGGGCCGACAAGGATTATTCATTGACATACAAAAAATGAGACGGTCGGGGTTCCTCCAAGGAACTCCATATGCCAACAATTTTCATGCTTGGATTGTTGAGCGCGAGCACCATTGTATCTTGCCTTACCCCAGCCTTACATCCTTGGAGCGGAATGCTAGAAATATATGGAAAATTCCGCGAGACAATGGTGTGTTACCCACTGCTTTGGGTGGCGCAAGGTATATGGTAGTCAAACAGCAGCAACAACAACAATAACAACAACAAAAATATCAGCAATAACAACAATAACAACAACAGCATAATCAACAACATCAAGGCATGAGTAGCCTTGAACAACAAATGATGAGCATGAAACTTGGCATGCAAATCCTGATGGAGAACCAGTAGGTTATGTTTATGCAAACCCAAGCTCTCTATGGTGCGGTCGTCAATAGAGGTGAGGTCACCCCCCCGGTCAATTACCCCTATTAGCCGCCCCAACAAGGCCGGGTCCCTTAGTGGCAGGGATCGCAACCTACTTGGCCCTATTGGCAAGGGCCCTCCTTTCAAGTCGTTTTTCAGGTAGACTACCCGACAGAAACCGGGTACGGTTATCGTGCCCCGGGGGGGAGTGATTTTAAGGGTGACCCCAACTATCCATATGTCAACCCTACCCACCCTTCCCCTCTTCAGCTTCCCTCCCCTTTCGACCCGTTGCCTCAATAGCAACAAGACCTCTTTCGAGGTCACTATGGTTAGCCCCCGGGTTTCACCGGTTGTTGGGACCCACACGAAATCCCTCCGGACGGGTTCTCTTACGACCCCGAGGATGATGGGGATGATGACGAAGCTGGCCCTAGTGGCCACTAGCCCCCCTTGTTCTTTTTTCTCCCCTTTGCCCCCTCCCAATGTTTTAACTTGGCGCACCGCGAACGATGCACTGTTTTATTATGGAAGGGGGTGTAAGAAGCACAAGGATTTTTTTTGGTAGTGTGGGGGAAGGCCAAGCATCATGCTAGTGGGGGGGGGACTCCATGGTAGGTAGTAGAGCTTGCATGGTTCAGTTGGCTTTATCATGTTTTGATGTTGATTGATCTTCTTGATTGTGATGATGATGTCTCTGGGTGATTGTGATGAGCTTTTGCTAATGAATTTTCAAGTGTTTGTGTAGGTGATGGCGCTCCTAAGAAGGAAAATCCAAACTCCTGATAATCCAAATTTCCCTTAATCCAAATTTTTTTTTTTTGAGATAGTTTTATTTTATTTCTATTTCTTCCTTTTGTTTAAAGTTTTAGCTTCCTTCTTTGATTTTCAACTTTTATTTATTTATTTTTGTTTTATCTCAATCGTTTCTTTTGTTTTGGCTCGCTTTTCAAGCTTGGAAATGGAGATGAAGGAAGTTAAGGGGCAACTCGAGCTCCCTCGGTGAGATTGTATAATTTATCTTGTCTTCATTTCAAGCGACGTTTGGTGAGACCTTTCCTCTCTTTTATTTTCTTTTTCTTTGGGTGTTTAGCTTAGGTTTAGCTTACGAAGAAGTTGAATGCTTCCAGGATGTTTGCTTTTGGTTCTATGGAACCTGGGATCGTTGATGTTGTTATCAAACGATCACTTACATGACGATTGGGATTTAATTGGATTATATGCCTCGTGTGTGAACCTTTTTTATTTCTTCCTCTTTCTTTTGTTTCGATTTCCCCTTTTTGTGTTACAAGCATAACTATGACAATTTGAAATGATTTTTGATTTGTAATTTGCTCACTCTTTTGGATTGGTTTGCCTCTCTTGACGATGTGTCTTTGAATACTTATCTTCCTAGTTGATGATGGGTTTATACGGTTTGAGAATGCTTAGGGTTGAATTAGACACATTGTAAGATAAGGTAGCCTGGTTTAGAACTTTTGTGGACGTTTGAACCCCTAGTTCACGGGAAAGTGGTAAGATGGTGTTGCTCTCTATGGTGGATAGGATTCCCTTGGTTGGTATTTTCTTATTTCTTATCCCATGTGAGCGTCATTTGTTCTAGCCTTCATCATTCTTGTAAGCGTCATTTAGGATCCTTAACTACGCATATCTTAATCTTTGTGTTGGCGTCTAGCTCCCAAGATTATGACCATATAACTATATAGGAGGAAGAGGGAATTTTTTCTCATTTTTCTTTGTTTTCTTTGTGTTGTGTTACAAATTTGGTTTTCATTTTTGCATTCACAATCATACTATTTATGTTCCACCAAGGAATCACAAACCGTATGTTAGGAGCTCCATGACAGAAAAACGACGTCCATTCCTCTTCATTCTTATGCTTATAAAGGATTCGACGTCTAGGGAATGTCTTTACTCCATTAGCCTCAAGGTTTTGTGGCTGATCAACAATTCGCAAACGCTCCATGAGCCAAATCTGAAAAGAAAAAAAAAAAGTTTGCGATTTATTACACTAGCAGGTAGCACGCGCAACTCAAAAGAATGCGTTGTTCATGCCAGCGTAACTTCTTAACTTGCGCTAATAAACGCCGAAAAAAAATCAAAAAACAAAAAAACATACGTGTAATAGGAGTGGACTACCCGTGAAACCGTTTTCGTTAGGATCTCCTCTAAGGCGATTCAAGCACAAAAAGGTTTCCGCCAAAACCAAAAGAGCGGGTGAATGACATCCCTCTATTTGCTCTACTATGGACAACATCGAATAATCTTTGTATTATTTGCCTATCCTGAGTAAACAATTATCAACAACACAATACATAAAGCACGAATTTTAAAGCGTTGTTTAGTCATGTTGTCACGAGGGGCGACGAAGTGTTCAATAAATTGAATTTAGTTAACGCCTTCTTCAGTTCCTATGTTGGTCATATCCTTTCAAACCAAAAAATCTTTGGAATATAAGTTTGGGATCCGACAAGGTAGGCGAATAAGTCACAGGGAGAGTGTTTGTACGGAAACCTAGCAAGGCCTCGAACTCA